AGACACATCATAATTAAAATGCCAAGAGCAAAAGACAAAGAGAGAATCTTAAAAGCAGCAAGAGAAAGAAACTCAGTTACCTACAAGGGAATACCCATACGACTGTCAGCTGATTTCTCAACAGAAACTTTGCAGGCCAGAAGGGAGTGGCAAGAAATATTCAAAGTGATGAATGCCAACAACCTACAACCAAGATTACTTTATCCAGCAAAGCTATCATTCAGAATTGAAGGTCAGATAAAGAGCTTCACAGATAAGGAAAAGCTAAAGGAGTTCATCACCACCAAACCAGTATTATATGAAATGCTGAAAGGTATCCTTTAAGAAGAGGAAGAAGAAGAAAAAGGTAAAGATACAAATTATGAACAACAAATATGCATCTATCAACAAGTGAATCTAAGAATCAAGTGAATAAATAATCTGATGAACAGAATGAACTGGTGATTATAATAGAATCAGGGACATAGAAAGGGAATGGACTCACTATTCTTGGTGGGGAAAGGGGTGTGGGAGATGCGGGAAGAGACTGGACAAAAATTGTGCACCTAGGGATGAGTACAGTGGGGGTGGTAAGGGCAGAGGGTAGGGTGGGAACTGGGTGGAGGGGAGCTATGGGGGGGGGGGAAGAGGAACAAATGTAATAATCTGAACAATAAAGATTTACTAAAAAAAAAAGAAAAGAAAATACAAACTAGAGCCTACTACCACCAAGCTAGAAACTCCTTAAAGTCTTCTGATATCTTCAATATACCAGATCCTTTCCCATCCCAGGGGCTTCACAGGCTGTTTCCCTGCCTGGATTACTGTGCTCACACTCCCTATTTAATGGTCAACTCCTATTGATTCTTCTGGTCACTGATGAAATGACTTCTTCATTAAGTCTTCCTTGACCCCACTCTCAATTTATATCTCCCAATTATAATCTCTTAAACACCCCTTACGTGAACTGCATGGCATCTCTCTATATAAAAGGCTAATATGCTAAGTGTCTATCCGGGTAATGACATCATGTAGCAATGCCTGGCTTCCCCTCCGTAGTGACTAGCCTCCTTGGAGTTTCTTCAGCCCAGGAATACAGCTTGCTTTATACCCAGGTGGAAACATTTTACACTGCAACCAAATGTCTGTGAAGCATTTTCCCATGCCTCATCTCATTTGATCTTCACAGAAGTCCTGGATTAGGTAGATAGGAGACTCGGTGGAATCCTATTTTGTTTTCATAAGCAGGAAAATGGAGATTTAGAAAGCTTAGAAACTTGACCCGACTGAAAAGAAGTAAAAATGGTGGACCTTGAAAATGACTTCAGGTTTTCTCACTGTGCAGAATTTGGTCAAACACTGCTGCAGTTAAATATTTTACCCTTTGTTCTCCCTGTGTGATCTACAATAATAATCTGCTTCGTGTTGGTATTTACTGCTGTGTTGCTGACAATTACCTGAAAGAGAAGTTGGGGTGCTTCACTGGGCTGGAAAAAGTTTAGCTAAATCAGAAAGCAGGTCTAATTAAGCAAGTTTATTCTATATCTATAAAAGGCTAAGTTGACTCGTGCATGCATGCACAATACATATAAAGCTCTTGCTGGTGCCAATTGCACACGTGTGTTTCCATCTGTCATTGTCGATCATAAATTTGGTTGACATTTCTATTATAGAGAAAGGGCAAATAGTGATATTAAAATATTCTAATTAATTTCCTTTCAATGTTCACGAATTCATGCACCTGGCCGCTAGTTTTTTTGTGTTTTTAAAAAAAAAAAAAAAAAAAAAAAAAAATATATATATATATATATATATATATATATATATATATATATATTAGAGGCCCAATGCATGAAATTTGTGCACTGGGGGGGGGGGGAGGGGGGCGGGGCAGGATGCTCCCACCACCACTGCTGCACTTGCCAGTCATGAGCTCGGCTTCTGGCTGTGCGGCGCTCCCCCTGTGACCACCAGGGGGCAGCTCCTACATTGAATGTCTGCCCCCTGGTGGTCAGTGTGTGTCACAGCGACTGGTTGTTCTGCTGTTGGGCTGAAACCGGCTCTCTGACATCCCCTGAGGGGTCCCTGATTGCGAGCAGTTGCAGGCCAGGTTGAGGGACCCCACTAGTGCATGATCGGGGCGAGGGAGGGATACGGGAAGTTGGCCAGCCTAGGAGGGTCTGTGGGAGGGCTCCAGAGCATGTCTGGCCCATCTCATTCAGTTCTGATCAGCCGACCCCAGGAGCAAGCTAACCTACTGGTTGCAGCGTGTGCTCCCTGGTGGTCAGTGCACATCATAAAGAGCAGTTGAGCAGCCTTAGCATATCATTAGCATATTATGTTTTGATTGTTTGAACAGCTGACCGGACGACTTAGCATATTAGGCTTTTATTATATAGGATATATATGTATATAATATACATATATGTATAATATATATAATATATATATGATATATTTGTGTGGTTTTGGGGGATAGAATGTCAATCTCCCTCCAGAGACCAAAAGCACAGTGAGGACAGACACTCTTCTGTATACTGCTGTATCACCAGCACCCAGTGTGGTGCTTAACATATATAGAAACGCACAGACATTTGTGGGAAGAATGAATGAATTAATGAACCGAAGATGAGACCTGGGCACTCAGTAGCATCTGCTTTTGTAACCACCCTCCTTGAATTCTGTCTTATATTGTTTAATGCTGTGATTTCAGGGGGAGGCTCCCCTGCCCCCAATCTTTTCCATACTGATAGTATGTAATCTCCATCTCTCTCTCCTTTCCCTCCCCCACAACTTTCTTGTTCTCATCTTCATCATCATAATTTACAACAGGTGCTTTATAAACAGTTTCATTAAATCTTCTCAAATAGCCTGCAGCTGCAATCTCCATTGCATGGATGGCAAGCCTGAGATCGAGAGAAAATGGACTTTAGCCAAAGTCGTACAACTATTAAATAGTGAAACTGACTTGGAGCTCTTAAATTTCTATCGTTCCACTGTACCATAAGCTTTCTCTTCACTTGGTCATACTTCTCATTCATTCCACAGTTACTGATAATCCCTACCAGGCACAGTACAAGGTGTAATTGAATAAAACAAAACTAATTAGGCCCTCCCACTTTTGTCAATTACAGTAGACTTATTTAGTATTTAATTAAGGTTCATATCGACCTGCTGTTTGGGGTGCGTGTGTGTGTGTGTGTGTGTGTGTGTGTGTGTAAAGGCACAATAACAATGTTTTTTGCAATGCTGTGAAATTATTTTAAACAACTAGTTTGGTCTCAATATTAAAGAATCAACCACATTGAATGAACCAGAGTTTTTGTGGCTGGGAGCTGGAAAGTGGTAAGGAAGGAGAGACAGTTCTGAAGCAGACCCTCTTTTTAAATTGAGATATATTTCACATACCAAAAAGATTGACCCAATTTAAAGTATAAAATTAATGGGTATATTTAGTATATTTACAAAGTTGTGCAACTATTACCAAAATCTAAGTTTAAATTATTTTCATCATCCCCAAAAGATACCTCTTACTCTATGCCACCCTCCAGCCCCTGGCAACCACTAATCTACTTTCTGTCTTTATAGATTTTCCTGTTCTGGACATTTTATATTGAATAATATATGTGGTCTTTTGTGATTGGTTTCTTTCACTTAGCAACATGTTTTTAAGGTTCATAGTGTTGTAACATGCAGCTGTACTTCATCCCTTTTTATAGTGGATACATGCATTTTGTTCTTCTACTCGTAAGCTAATGGACATTTGGGTTGGTTCCACTTTTTGGCTATCATGAAGAATGCTACTATGAACAAGGATTTGTATGGATGTATGTTTTCATGTCTCTTGGGTATCTCTACCTGGGGAGTGGAGTTGCTGGCTCATTTGTTAACCCCTAAGGTTAACACTTTGAGGAAGTGTCAACAGCTTTTCCTTATGAGGAAAAGTTTAGGTTTTTGCCCAGAAGATTGAGTGCCTGTGTTTGGCTGTTTTGCAAGGCCCTCCTTGTTTGTTTACATCCCTTCTATTCTTGAGTGTCCCTTTCCCCCTTTATTTACCTCCTTTATTTTTTTCTCCTTAGCCTCCAGCCACCCTGCTGATCTTAGTAGGGGACTGAAGTTTTCAACACCTAAAAGTTATTTGTAAAACATTTTGAGCTCTCTGGAGGATGGACATTAAAGTTATAATGTTTATCTGTTTATCTTTGGCTTAAGCACCATGATGTTTTGTAACAAAAGAGCTTATTGAGTAGGAGGCTTATTTAGCTTGGCCCTGAGGGTCACACTCCTACAACATGTTGTCCCAACAGATTCTTACTTTCCCAGCTCCTAGACTGAACGTTTGGAACAATCACTTTGAAGTTTCTTGTGGATATTAACATCATTAGTAAAACTGTGTATGTAAACATGTATTGTGAACTTGTAAAATCATGTTCCTAGTATGTGCCTGGCACATAATAATTGGGTAATAAATTGTCATTTTTAAAAGTTACTATACTGAACAATTGATTTGTTTTAGGTAAGGCTGTCAATGTAAAGCGGAGCTTTGACATGCATTTTACGTTAAGTGGAGGAGAACGTGAATAAGAAAAGAGAGCCCGGCGTTCATTTACAGGTGAGGCCCAGTCCAGGATAAATGAAATGAGTCAATCATTTCCCCTAGCATGCCAGACCTCTGAATTATGTCGTCCGGCTGCGGAGGATTAGAGACTGTATTAAGATTCCCCTTCCTTGACCCGGTCCAGTTTCCTGCTCCGGGGAGCCTACAGTGAGTCACCCTGAAAAGGGGAGCAGAAGAAAAGGGGAGAGGCACGCGCCCCGGGGGTGGAGGAGAGCCGCGGGATAAACTGAGCCAGGGAGCCTCGGAAGGAAGAGGAGGGGCAACTGCGCGTGGGGAAGAGAAGGAAGAGGCGTCCGGGGAAAGGAAGGGAAGGGAGTGGAGGAGAGGAAGAAAGAAGGCGGGGGAAAAACAAGGGGGCGAGCGGGGCGGGCCGGGGAGGCGCCCGGGGCGGGGCAGCCTCTCGCCTCGGGGAGGGTGTTCGGCGCGGGGGCCGCGCGGGGCGGGGCCGCGGGCACTTGAGCTTCGGCGGGGCCGCGGGGAGTGGGGCGCCCAGTCGTCCTTGCGTCCAGGCTTGGCTCCGAGGGACATGTCCGCGCCGTGCTCGCAACGCGCCCCAGGCTGCTAGCTTCTCCGGGACTTCCTGCCCGCGCGGCCCCGCACCTGGCCGCGGCCCCAGGCCGGGCTCGGGCTGTAGCGCGCCGCGGGCGGGCGGGTGGCTCGTTGGCCGGCGGTTCGCGCGGACCGCTGCAGTCATGGGGCTGCAGCCCCTGGAATTCAGCGACTGCTACCTCGACAGTCCGTGGTTCCGGGAGAGGATCCGCGCCCACGAAGTGGAGCTCGAGAGGACCAACAAGTTCATCAAAGAGCTCATCAAGGACGGGAAGAACCTCATCGCGGCGACCAAAAGTAAGCGGGGACCCGGGCGCCCGTGGGCTGCGGCGCGGCGGGGCCGGGAGGAGCCTCTCCCCGGGGGAGACGGCCAGTCCCCTGCCCGAGGCCAGTGACCGGAGGAACTGGAGGTTCAGTCGGACCGGGAGGGCCTGGGGTCTTTTCTCCCTGGCTCCCAGGCAGCTGGTCGCAAGTTCCCTTTCCCGCTCCTACCCCTCTTCGGTAGCCAGGGCCAGGAGCCATGCGTGAGAGACTCGTCCGGGAGCCCGCCTGCTGCAGACGGGCGTCCCTCGGTGTCTGCGTTCCCCGCAGGACTGCCCAAGAGAAATTTTCAATGCACCCTAAAGCTGCTCACCGTCTCCTACAAAACAGAAACCATCAGTTTTACTAGTTTTGTCTTGTGATCTTTCAGAAGAACTTCCCTAAGGGTTCTTTGAAAAACCTGGTGGGTGTTGAATTGCACCCTTCTTTTGTCAATTTCTGATCTTCCGGGACAGACTCGGGTCCTTCCCTGGGCTAAACCAGAAAGTCCACCTGGCGTTGTGCTGCTTTCCGCGCATTCCTTCCCTCCTGCGCTGAGGAGAGGGGCACTGATGGGCTTGTAAGGGTGAGCAGCCAGCCAGCCTGCCCTCTGATCCCAGGGAGCGCTGCTTGCAAATAGGGAATTCCACCTCGGTCAAGCTGGATGCTTTCCTCCCTGGTTCCTCTCTATCTTTTAAATATATTATATGTATATAGCTCGATTTCAGAGAGAGGAAGGGAGAGGGAGAGATAAAAACATCAACGATGAGAGAGAATCATTGATGGGCTGCCTCCTGCACGCCTCCTACTGGGAATCAGACCCACAACCACTGCATGTGCGCTGTCTGGGAATCCAACCATGACCTCCTGGTTCATGGGTCCTCGCTCAACCACAGAACCACACTAGCGGGGCTTTTTTCTATCTTGGAAGACTTGAAGTGAAGTGGCCACAGAAGAAATTGTGTGTATGTGTATTTATATCTGTCTGAGTATCTGAGAAGAGGCTTTCTAGGAGGAAGGTGGGCCGAAATTCATGCTGGAACACTGAGTTGGTGATGCTGCTGTTAATGGGGAGGTATTAGCAGTGCTTCTCAACCTGTGGGTCGCGACCCCTTTGGCGGTCAAACGACCCTTTCACAGGGGTCGCCTAAGACCATCCTGCATATCAGATATTTACATGCCGACTCATAACAGTAGCAACATTACAGTTATGAAGTAGCAACGAAAATAATTTTATGGTTGGGTTACATGAGGAACTGTATTTAAAGGGCCAGAAGGTTGAGAACCACTGAACTACAGTGAGAAGCTGGGCAGACTGACTACACCTGTAACTCATAGCCTGTTCTGAGGATGTCTCTAGCGCTCCCTGTTCTGTCTTAAAAACACCTGCTCATACAGCAGACAGGTGGGGGCAGTTATCCAGTCTTGCAAATCTGTGCTAGGGTCTTTATCTCTTCCCTGGCTTCTCAATTCAGTGATTTTCAGCCTTGGCAGTTTGACCCTTGTGTGTTTATAGCCGTCACCTCTATGAAAAATACCCCTGTCACTGTCTCCTCTCCTTCTCATTAAGGAAGATTAAACCCAGCACAGTGCCTGAACAGTAAATATCCATTTAATGAATAAGTTGGAATAAGGTTTAATGAGAAGAATTTAGTAAGCCATCCTTGTAATTTTGGAAGCTGCTTTGGATAATGTCCAAGTTCCCTTTTGGTTCTGTGACCTCTTAGATGTTGCAAAATGAGGATTGGGAATCACTTTGTTTGGGAGATGTGACTAAGTGGGCTTATTTGGTTGGTGGCTCTCCAGTATCCATGGCATTGGGTATGGGTGGGAAGTAGGGAGGGACTGAAAATATGTAGGAGTGAGTGTAGAAAGGCAGAGGCCAGGAGAAGGGCACACAGTGATCGTGAAGCCTGGTGTTAACCAGTGTCCCTGGCTGGGGGTGTGTACCTTCCCTTACTGACTGTAGCAGCTCCCTCAGGAGCTGGGGAGCTGAGGAGAGAGGCTTTGGTGTGCAGAGAGACAGATGGCAAAGCCAGTTTGGCCACTGGTAGAAAGCTATTTATGTGATTGCATATTAGCTCTTCTGCCAAGCAGGACACATGCCTGGTGTGTTCCAGCAGCAGCTAGTGCATCTGGGAAGTGGGGGGAGGGCAGCTGTCAGCCTTCCTCCCCAGAATATAGACTTTGGTGAATTTGTGAATTGGTATTGTATTCGTTTTGATTCTCGTCCTTTACCATAGGAAACATAGTTTATAATCATGCTTAAGAGAGCAACCAGAAAGTATCCTTTTTCTTACCATGTTTAATTAACTTAAATTCTTTCCCAGAAGATAAGAGCACAGCTTTCGCTTACAAGCTTTTGTCAAGTTAGGAAGACACTGCCTTTACCCAGCTTGCTCCTTAAACTTCTAGTTCCTATAGAACAGTGGTTCTCAACCATGGCTGCACATTAGAATCACCTGGGAATCTTTTTAAAATCCTGATTCCTGGGCCTCATCCTCCGGAAATTCTGTTTCTTTGTTACTAATGTTGTGGCCCCACCCCATAACAAAGAAACAGAATTTCCGGAGGATGAGGCCCAGGAATCAGGATTTTAAAAAGATTCCCAGGTGATTCTAAATGTGCAGCCAAGGTTGAGAACCACTGCTCTAGAAGATTAAGAGCACTGGACTTAAGTCAGGACATCTGAGTTAATTCGCCTTCACTGTTAGGGCCTGGCTACATGACAGTTGGGCAGGTCACTTTAATTCTTTTGTGTCCAGTTTCTCTTGTCCTACTTCTAAGAGACATTAGTAAGGTTCTGCAGTGTTTGGAAATTGCTTGATTAATTCATTTGAAATTGCAGCCTAGGTCAATCATTTGCCTAACTAGTTGTGCCTTTCCATAACATCTGAGAGTCAAGAAGTCCAGGAAGGACATGAGGCAGAGGGAAGAGCTACAGCAAGAATTAACAATCAACTAGGGCAGACTGCTTATATTTTAAGGTGTTTACATTATTTTTGCAAACAGGGATTATTTTGTGCATTTTTAGAATTGTGTGTTTAGTGATTTCTGTTTTTAATTGCCCTGTAAGATGCCTCCTGCAGGCACTAAATAATCGTTAGGTTTATGTAATTGTGATGTCTTGATGCTTTGAATATTCCACAAATGTGTAAAGATATTGGAGGGGGTTCTGTGGGACCTGAAGGCTTACTGCTGAGTTCAGTTATGTAGCAATCAGAAAATACTTAGCACCTACAAATATTGGAGTTGAGATAAAAGAGAGGTAATTGAGTTCATTGTCCTTGAGTTGAATAAAGTTCAATCTAGGGGACATGTCCTCTCTGTATTGTGCTAAGTTCTTGAAGAAACAAAAGATACGCAGACACACATGGTAAAAGTTAACAATTCAGTGACAAGTCAGTATTCTGACTTTGCCAGGAACAAGAGTTGGTTGTAGGTTAGAGTAGAGAAGGTTTGCTGGGACTTTGGGAACTCATTGGTGTTTTAAGGAAGGAATAGCACTTTGTCAGATTGAAAACAGCCGAGAAGAAACCAGAATACCAACAGTGTCTGAGGACGATGAGGAGACCGGTTTGGCTGGAATAGAGATTTCATTTTGGGTAGTAGAATGGGATGAATGGAAAGGTCAGTTTCAGATTATGGAGGTCCATGAAAGCGAGGTTGGGAATGGGGACTTTATATCCTGTGGAGAATGGCTGAAAATTTTTCAGCAGAAGCTGGACATAGTGGGAAAGAGATGGCTGAGAGATGGTATGTGACATCTGTGTGGGATGGAGATAGCAGTGAGGGTAGGAAGGAGCTCCAGAGACAAGAGTCTAGGATCCTTGACTTATGTTGTAGAGTGGAGATCATTCACTCAATTCAGTGGAGTCTTTGTTTAAACGGTTTTTAGTACTTTATTTTTTCACCCTACTCCTTTCCTTTTTTCCCCCCCTTTCCTTTTGTTCCCTTTCCTTTTTTCCCCTTTCCTTTCCTGTCCTGTCCCATCCTGTGTCCTCTTTCAATACAGTTTAAACTGTGTAGTTTAGAGACTTGTGATCTGTAGAAATGTGTGGCATATTTTCCAGAAACAACCATAAGCCATATATGCTTTTTTCATAAATTTTATGTTAGGCATTCTTGAGAGGATATATTTTGTGCTGGAGGCAAATACATATTTATTGATGTGTGTGTGAGAGAGAGAGGAAGAGAGAGAGAGAGAGAGAGAGAGAGAGAGAGAGAGAGAGAGAGAGAGAGAGAAGGAAAGAGAAAAAGAAAATCTATGGGAGATAGAAACATCAATGGATTGATTGCCTCTCATACTCGCCCTGACCAGGATTGGAACCCGCATCCTGAGTATGTGCCCTAACTGGAACTCTAACTGCAACCTCTTCAGTGCATGGGATGACTTTCCAAACAACTGAGCCTACTGGCCAGGGCCCAAAATACATATTTTTAAAACAAATAATTCTTACAGTTATTAAGCACTTACATGGGTATATAAAATGCTCTTTAGTAAACTTAGATTGTCTGGCTGTGTGTGTGTGTGTGTGTGAGAGAGAGAGAGAGAGAGAGAGAGAGAGAGAGAGAGAGAGGGAGAGAGAGAAAGAAAGAACACGGAGGGGCGGGAGAAAAGCTGGAGGGGCCCTCATATGTGAGTCTGCTCTTATCACAGATATGGGAAGAATGTTAGTGGCAGCCAGGACTAGAATTTAAGTCTTCCAAGTCTTGGTTTTAGTACTTCTTTTAGGCTTTGCTATTTTAATGATTTTGACCCTGTTTTCCTCAGGACAACATAAAAATTCCCTTTTGCTGTTTTTCTGTTTATTGTTTCCGAGAAATGGTTCATGTGCTGATTCCTTTTGGAGAAGTTTCTTAAGGTGCTGTTGCATCGAAACATAGGGAAATTTGGAAGACTTAAAAGAATTTCACTTCGTAAACTCAGTTTCCTCGTTTGTAAAATGGGACTGCTGCAGAAAGCCTTAAGGATTGACTAAAATGGTGTGGAAGTG